GCTGAGGGAGCCGGCGGGACGCGGGGCGTCCTGAGGCCAGCCAGGGCTCATGGCACCCCCGCCCTCAGGCCGAACAGAAGCGGGGCAAGCGCCAGACGGGGCGGGAGATGAAGCTGCGCATCCTGTCTGATCGCAAGAAGCCTCTGAACATCGACTTCATGGGGGAGGATCAGCTCCGGTGGGTGGGGCCGGGGCGCGGGGGGTGGTGGTGGTGCTGAGCCAGGGAGACCCCCGCCCTCAGCCGCTATTGGGCAGAAACCCGTTTGCGCCTGGATTTATTTACTGATGCACACAAGAGCTGGGGTGCAGCCCAGAGGTGCGGGGCGAGGATCCACCGAGCCGGAGCGGGCAGCAGAACAGCCGATTGGCAAAGAACACTGCTGAGGGGAGCGGCAGCGGGGGTCCGGAGAGGCCTGCCGCGCCCTGGGGCTCAGCCCCGCGGATGGACCTCTGCTGAAGCCGCTGCTCCTGAGCGCTGCGCTTTAACCCGCGGCGCCACCCGGAGACCCTGTTCCGCTGCTCCTGAGGAGGGGGGCAGGGTGTTGGGCAGGCCGCGCCACCTCCCAGTTTTGCCTTCCAGGTTTCTTTTGGACAAGCACCAGGGTCCTGGGGGGGGGGTGGCGTGAGCACAGGAACAAACCTGACACTAGAGATGCCAGGGTTTGCCCCGAGCCTCCGTCCTGGACGGTGACTCCGCTGAGGCGACATAAAGCCTCCAACTGGGCGTGGACAGAGTGGGCAGAGACTTAAAACCCTCCTCTGGACCCTCTGATCATACTCTGCCTCGGACATTGCCAGTGGCCCCCCACGAAGCCACCCCCGGCCAGACACCCGCCGTGTGGCCGGGCACTTCCTCCAGCCTGCGGGCCGCGGGCAGGGCCGCTCCCTTCACACCCGCCTTGTGCCCTGCCAGGGAGAAGGCCCAGGGGCTGCTGGACTGGATCTACCAGCTGGAGTCGGAGAAGTTTGACCTGATGGAGAAGATGAAGCAGCAGAAATACGAGGTGAGGCTCATCGCTGCTGGCGGCCGGGCCTGCGGGGCAGAGCAGGCGGGGTCAGGCCGGTCACCCGCCTGTCCTCCCACCCACAGATCAACGTGCTGTACAACCGCATCAGCCACGCCCAGAAGTTGTAAGTGGCCCAGCCCCAGCAGCGACCCCGCCCGCCCCTGGGCAGCCCAGCCAGCCTGCCCACCCGGGGCAGCCCGGCCTCCCAGCCCCCCACTCCCCGCCTCCTGCCGCCCCACCGAGGCCGCCCAGCCCCCTCCCTTTCCTGGACCCCCTTGCCCCTCATTCTCTGACCATTCGTGTCCGGCCTCTGTCTCCTCCCTGGAGTCTCAGCGCCTGTGTCTGCAGCCCCCTAGATCAATTGTACCCCAAGGGGCGGGGTGGTTCGCGCCCAGGCGACAGCCAGGTGCCCCGCTGGCCGCCCGGGAGGACGCTGGTGCTCGGTGGTGTCCCCACCCCAGCCGGGCCGGGGTTGGTTGGCCAAGTGGCCCTGAGCACTCCTGCCCTTTGAACCCGTGTGGGGTGGGGGCGCCCAGGGCCTCGTGCAGTGGGGAACCCTTGTGGGGCTTTTCACTCCCCCACACGGAATCTGTGAGGGACGCCGCGTCCCTCAGCGTCTGCTCTGCGGATCCGAGGATTCCGCACCCCGCACCCCGCCGTGTGCGGGCCGGGTCAGCGGGTCAGCGGGTCAGCGCGGCTCTGCGCAGACACAGACTGGGGCTGTGTCTGGGGCAGCTGCGGCTTTTGGGCTTTGCCTCTGCGCCCCGTCCGGCCCCCACCCGCTTACCTAGGGTCTGCCTGTTACCCTCTCGCCTCTTCCCTTCCTCCCAGCCCCCCACCCCCAGCTCTAGACACTGGGAACTCGCCAAGGACATCTGAACTCACCCCAAACTGCCACTTCCGCCTGCCAGGAAGGCCTCTGAGTAGCAACCTCTGGGCGAGGAGGGCACTATTTTGGGGGGTGCACTTCCTGACTTGAGGCCCCAGACCCTTCTCAGAGGTCAGGGAACACCTCCTGTTTCAGGGCAGAAGCCCCAAATCTGGGGGCCATCTGCTGCATCCAGACAGCATACTCTAGTGTGTAAGCCCCTTAATGGAAAGGAGCTTGAATTCCGTTAGTGAGCAGTACAGAAAAGGG